GTTGATCTGCGAGGCGCGTATAGAGCGGTTTGAGTGCATCCAGTCGAGCGGAAGCATCTAAGCTTCGTACAAACAAAACTGGAAGCACCCGATTCTCCGAGGATATTTCTATTACTGGATTCTTCTACTGGAATTTCACCCGTGATATGAAGAACACTAGTGAAAAATATATTTCATGACTACTACATATCGCGAATATCGCGTTTTTCACGGAGTATGACGGCACTTCACGAAGAACGGGCGAAACTCCACTGCTTTCAGCATTTACTATAATCAGTAGTCCTAACCTGTTTTCAAACCTCGTTCTCGAACTGCATTCATCGGAAAGAGTTGATATATATCGCAACTTGATATTTTCAAGTCCGGTTCCCAGTTTCACAACTGTTAATGATTTACCTATTCGAATAACACTTCACTGGATATAATAGCAGGGAATGTCGTAAACTGCAGCTTGATGATACTTATCCGATGTGGAAAATATTCACCGTAAGCTCAGCTAAGGGATTCCTTCACCCGAGAGAGACACATTGTGTGCTACGGGAGATTGGGACAGCGATCGATGATGATGCACCAGCATCTCCCAGAACGATTCATGATTGGAACACCGAGCCAATACTTGTCTACTGAAGTTAGACCGACCCAGGCACAAATCCACGACGCGATTTCGAAACTCAACAGTTGGGCGTAAAGAATCATCTTTATCAAATCCTCAGCGTCATGATGATCAGGTCTGAACAGACCTTCACATTTACACTGAATGAATCGAATAAATTGATAATCTATCCAACAAAAGAGAGACCATCGAGCTAGACGAGAGTTCACGGAACAAGTTGGCAATGACTCGGTGTCATTGACTCCATCATCATGAGACGGAGTCAGGGCGAAAAATTAAACCTTCTTTCTCCCAAGTATCTTCTTGACAGCCGCCGCAGCATTCACGCGGCCGAAGGTAAGGGTCTCTACCCCTTTACTGTCCTTGACACCTTGGGTGGCCGTATCCTTGATGATACTTTTGATGTAAGCAGGGGTCAGCTTAGCCTTCAGAGAAGGTTCAAGGCTGTAGAGCATCCCAGCTATACCTGCTACAATAGCGGCGGCATGCGAAGTGCCCCTACCTGTGGCATACTTCCCTTTGAGATCAGTTGTAACTATTCCGTTACCTGGAGCGGCAATGTCAACAGCTGAACCGAAATTGCTTCCATCCGTAAGCTGCATGTTGGGACCATACGTTGCAGCCACACATAACACTCCATCAGCGGGTGAACGGCCGAAGGAACAAGGGAAGTCTGGATTTATGTCCAAATCGCGGTGCTTATTCCCTGCCGTGACGACAACGAGCATGCCAGCTGCATTTGCTTCCTGAATCTTGTCGGTAAGGGCTTGGGAACTCTCTGAATCGGAACCTTCCGTCATGAGAATAACTTTCAC